CGAGATGCCGCAAATAAGCTGGGTGTATCGTCTACAACCGTGCATCGAGCCAAAAAACGAGCCGGACTATCGACTTACAAGAAGGTAGTGACTCCAAATCGCGATGATAAACAAAATACGACGGCCAAAGCGCGATCCCGGAGGCTGTACACGATGATGCTGACGAAGTTTGACTGCGTGGTAATGGACGACGAAACCTACGTCAAAGCCGACTACAAGCAGCTTCCGGGACAGGAGTTTTATACGGTAAAAGGAAGGGGAAAGGTAGCAGATGTTTTCAAGCACATGAAACTGTCAAAGTTCGCAAATAAATATCTGGTTTAACAAGCCATCTGTACCTGTGGCTTGAAAAGCAGCATTTTCATAGCTTCCGGGACTGTCAACCAAGAAATTTACGTGAAAGAGTGTTTGAATAAACGTCTGCTGCCTTTGCTGAAGAAACACGGTTGTTCCGTACTGTTTTGGCCGGATTTGGCATCTTGCCATTACGGTAAAAAGGCCATGGAGTGGTACGCCGCCAACAACGTGCAGGTGGTTCCCAAGGACAAGAACCCTCCCAACACGCCAGAGCTCCGCCCAATTGAGAAATACTGGGCTATTGTCAAGCGGAACCTAAAGAAGACCAAAAAAACTGCTAAGGGCGAGCAGCAGTTCAAGGCAAACTGGCTTTCTGCGGCGAAGAAGGTGGACAAGGTGGCTGTACAAAATCTGATGGCAGGGGTCAAGCGTAAGGCCCGGCAATTCGGATTTGGAAAAGCGGAAGCCTAACTGAATATTTTTCCTGAATTTTATACTAATTGAACTTGAAAAAGAAATTTAATTTGATTTTTTAAATAAACGATTTCACCGATTTACACGCGTTTTCCCTTGACCAAATTTTGACCGTATCACCCTTTAATTGATAATTCTCCCGAATATCCTGGTAAATACACTTTGACTTAAAATTTGCTCTTGCAATACAGACTAGACATTATACAGATATTTGCAAGGGGTAAGACAACTCCTAATCATGAGAAATTTCAAATTTGAAGCACCTCGAGTAAATCACGTTGCTCAGTGCGCAACATCACTGTCATATGCTTTCCCACTTTACGCAACACATGGAGGTGCGAAGCCAAAAAGCTGCTGTCAAGCAAAAAATAACAAAAAGGAAACATCAGGCTCGATGTGGTAGAAGAACTCGATCCGCCTGACCAAATACTCCAGATACGGCAAATTATACGTACCCTGCACGTCCTCTGATACTCGTCGAAGTGATCCCATTCCCATGGATCAACAACCTGCCGCTAGATGAAACTACGAACCAAGCTCTGGATTCTCATGGTACCGTTTGATTCCCATAAAAATTGTTTTGTTGTTTTATTTGTTTTTCTTTTAACTATTATTTATTATATTCGGAGCATGTTTTGTTCTTCAGTTATATGCCGGTGATGTTGAGGTACATCCCTAATAAAAATTCAATGATTATTTTATGTGTCCCACACATGCATTTTTGCAATTTGATAAACAAATGATATATACACAGACAAACAGACATAACACTCGCAAGTTGTTCATCGAACAAGCATTTAACGGTCCATTTAAAAGTATCGTAGTTGGTAGCACCGCCACCTGTGGCGCGCATAGTCAATTCCCTTGCGTCTGACGTTTACACACTAGCGCCATCTGTTCAGCGTACTACCCACCACAGTGTATTCAACAGATGGCGGTAATGTTCTAGCGACGATGTTTTACATGATGTCTGTTTGTCTGTGATATATATGTGTCGGACACATAGTTCTTATGTGTACACATAAAATTCATGTGTAACCACACATATTATTCATTTGACTCATAAATTTCATGTGTACTTCTGAGTGGATTCTGTTTATGTGTGGACACATGAAAATCATGTGGATTTTTACATGGAAATTCGCCAATAAAAATGTGTCGAATTTTATGAGTGATTGAGTAACTCACGAGTTACTCGCTGCAAAAATGCAACTCAGAGTAAAGCTGCCTTACGCCTCGAGGGGGACGACTCTATCTACGATGCAGAAAATATTGTGTTTTGCTGTGGCTAGCTGCGCGTACGCTGAGTAGATAGAAAGAAGATTTATCACGATTTTGAAGATTTCCTGCAAAAAAATTATGCGCGATGCAAGTAGATGCGAGAAATGAAAGAAGATTTTTCGAAGATTTATTCGCTAGTGTGAGATTTTTTGAGCATCTAGAATCGAGATTTAGATGTGTCGCCCCCTCGTTACGCCTTGGATATTTGAAGACAGATCTAGTACAGATTTTTACCAATTGGTTCCTGAAACTTAACATAAAATAAACAAAATTATTTTCGAGTGTGTGCATCTTGTTATGAGTATGGTACGTTTCTAAAGGGTGCAAGCATCTGGCAAATTTTGTTCTACTGATTATGGACCTGATCAAGGGGCTGGCAACCCTATATAAATCCTATAAGTTTGACAGTAGGCAACATCACGGGCCTTATTTAAATACGGCCCGACGTATACATGGTGGAAAGGGACGGAAAACCGTGTTGTAAGCAGAAAGACAAGAGCAGATGATGGCATCAAAAACATGGCCGCCAGTCAGGCCCCTGGACCTGATCTTTTTGACGTTTAATCGTCTTCTTTTTCTAGCACACGACGACGGCGAAGAATGATTTCGACAGTGAGCATGCATAAGGGCCTATACCTGGGGGGGGGGGGGACGTGCTGTCAAATCAGCCTACTGATCATCTTGTATGAAACTGGTTCCAAACGTAAACAAACGCTGTAGGTTTCTTATGGCTTGCTTAAGTTTGGAACCAGTTATGCGAGGTAGGCGACGATTGTTCGTATTTGACAGCCACCTCCCCCCCTTGGCCTATACGCGATGATCGATTCTCTTCGTCGATTTTCTCTTTCGTTAATAACTCGCTAGATTGAATGTTTATCGGTGCGTTTGCTGTTGCTGTTGATAGCCAATACAACCTGTTACTACTCTGCATTGAACAAATTCTAGAAAATTGTTTCGCTTAGCTGTAGCAATGCAAAGAGAAAATCGATGAAGAGAATCGATCATCGCGTATTCGCCCTTATGCATGCTCACTGTCGATTTGTTCATCACTATACACGGTAACCGCAAAATACCCAATAATGACTCAAAGTAAGCATTTTCGAGGGAAACTGGGACTACCCTAATAAAAATGGTATGGTTAATTTGCTTAACGACGTGTTCTGGGTATCATCCAAACCATTTGTGGAATAGTTCAACGATTTGGGCTATCGTTTGATAATGGTTATTTTTTATTAGGGTACCCATTAAATGAGTAAAATTTTACACATTTATGAGTATTATTATTTATCTTTATTAGGGAGGCTTTCAGCCTTGCACGGAGAAAAAATACTACCCAAAATTTGAGTTCTTTTTACTTAATATTGACTTCAGCCTCTCACTTGCACTCGTTATTGTTGTCAAAAAAGGAACGAGAGATTCGACCCAACGATATAGTTCAGCCCAATAAGTTACTCTTGAGTAAATTCCATATTCTCAATTTACGTGAATTAAACTTAATTTTGGGTAGAATATACTTAAGAGTAGGTAATTTTTTTTGCTGGTGTTAAATGGAAACTACTATATGCGAGTTACTCAAATTTGGGTTATTGGGCTGAACCCCGGAATTGAGGGAAAAGTACTTAATTTTGTGTAGTTTTTCATCTCCGTGTGGGCTGGTTCGCCTCCACTTTATGAGTAATTACAACTACAAAAATAAGTAGTAAGTATTCATTTTTGAGTAACAAATACTCATAAATGGGTAATATTTTTACTAATTTAATGGGTAGTCCCAGTCTCCCTTTGTAGTTATTATTGGATATTTTGCGGTTACCGTGTAGAGATTAGTGACGTTTAACGCACGCACACTAGCGGGTTCAACGCCGTGTAAAGTTGTTTATTATTTTCCTCTGGCTAACCTAAAAAATGTATGAAAGTAGATCTGTCAAAATGAGTTTGACATCGATTTGTTATGTATTTTCCTCGGATATTCACTAACACACTCTCACATATCGCACCAATACAACCGGACGTGAAAATCTCTATAATTTAATTCCCTCTTGCTCGTGCATCTTAGATTTAGATGCGCAAAGTCTTTTTAAATCTCGTGATTAAAAAACCTCGTAAAAAACAACAAAATGCTTTCTAAGTTTTGTCTTCGTATACTACTAAAAATAAAATAAAACCACAAAAATGCACTTTTTTAAGTTTAAAAATACTTATTTATTCAGTTTAGTGTGTGGTGAGCTAAAATACTTGTGGGAAATACGTAATCAGCAATAAGACGATTTTTTCTAGTGTACAGACAAATACAGACATATTTTTTTACACTCATCAGATTTTTGAAAAAAATCATCTGGCATCAACAGGAGAATCATTTATCCTTTTGTCACCGAGGCAGTCTGATATAAGAGGTCTGATGAGCACGAGTGCGATAAGTTTTTATTTGTCATAGATTAAGCCACCACTTTCTGGGTGAAATTGAAAAAGTCATGCATGGGATAATAAGAAATAAATAAGTCATACATCTTCAAAACTGGGTTTTATTTCTAGAAATTCGAAGCAACAAATATTTAGAATGAAATTCGTGCGTTCCAATAAAGAACCGTATATGGATTCGAAACTCAAATGTCATTAGCCAAATACATCCGTAGACCATATAGGTCCACCGTTGTATAATTGGCAATGCACCCTTGTACTGAATGGGGATTGTGGGTTCGAATCCTATCGGTGCCCTTAGACTTTTTCGCAAATTTTCTCACACACGTGTCTCACCGATGATATGTGCTTACCTCTCAGTATGTTCGAACTATCTTATAAACAATTAAATTGACTGCAAATTCGCTCAACCGTAAATCAAAGTATGACTTTTATGGGTAGAAAAGAGTTATTAATTATTGGTCGCATTATACAGGGCACTTACGCTGACCACCAACACCAGCCGTTAATTATGATACTCTTTAACATTGCAGACGACCTCCGTCGCAGGGTGTGGCCCCTGTTGGTTGGTGTCGATCCCAAGCAGGTCGACCCGGCACCGTCACTCGAGGAACTTAACAGCCACCCAGAATACAATCAGGTAGTGTTGGATGTGAACCGTTCGCTGAAGCGCTTTCCTCCAGGCATTCCCTACGAACAGCGTGTCGCCCTGCAGGATCAACTGACCGTACTAATTCTACGAGTCATCATCAAGCATCCACATCTCAAGTACTATCAGGTAAGGTGCTAGAAGCAGAAGTGGTGGCAAACAACCCTCAAACTGCACAGTTATTCATTTTGTTCAGTTGAAAGCTGTTTCTGGGCATAGGGGACACCTTTAATAGATACTCATGACTAACATTAATTTAAGAGTGACCTAGTGCGAGTTTCCCACCCCTTGCACCTGCTGTGCATGCTAGAGTTGCTAGAAAGCGCGGCATGATACGTATTAAACGATATTTCAAATCTTCTTCCACCGTAGGGTTACCACGATGTAGCGATCACATTCTTACTTGTCGTTGGTGAGGAGGTAGCATTTCACGTAATGGAGATTCTGTCCACCAACCATTTGGTCGAATGCATGCAAGAAACAATGGAACCGACTCAACGAAGGCTAATGTTTATCTATCCTCTGGTAAGGAGGGAGAATGCAGGCCTTTGTGATTATTTGGAGCGGTGAGTTGAAGTTCAAAACTCTATGATCGTGCTTAACTTCACTATAACTATGATGGACATGGTTCATGTTTTGTAGATCAACCGTTGGCACACTATTCGCACTGCCCTGGTACCTGACATGGTTTGGACACAGTCTCAACTCGTACCGGTCGGTGGTGCGATTGTATGATTACTTCTTAGCCTCTGATTTTCTTCTGCCTATATACGTGACCTCCGCGATCGTACTGTACAGACAGAGTGAGATCTTCCAAGAGGACTGCGACATGGCTTCGCTACATTGTTTGTTGTCACAAGTGAGTTACTTCAAAATAATTTGTTTGAGATTTCCAGTCATGTTATTTTTAATTATATTAGTTACCGGAGGATCTACCCTTTGAATACCTTCTTAAAAATGCCGAAGTTCTCTACCGGAAATACCCTCCCAAATTGGTCGAAAAAGATGTGGAAACTATGATTGCCAAAGAGTAAGTTTTGTTATATTCATATTTTTAATGACTGATTTTAAACTAACCGCTTACCCTGCAGGAAACAGCAGCGGCTTAAGGAGGAACGCGATCGCGAGCGGCGGAAGGCTCGCAGCGTGGCAAAGCCGGGAGGTCATTCGTTCATTGGCCGCCTATTACCACACCTGCCAGTCACGCGACGATCGGTTTTTGTGACGACTGCATTTTCCATTCTGGTGGGCTTCTGTGCTTACTACTACCGCGCTCATCTGATGCCACTTTCAGTGATCAGATGAGTCGAGCTGTTCCGGCGGATTCCGTCGTCTTTTACCGTCGTTACCGGTCCTTTGGCCACATATTGGGGCTGGGACAGCTCGCCGCGGGCTCTACAGTAATCAATTCTACTGGCTGTGGCTGTTTCCAGAATCTGAACCATTCGCACGTGGCAAAATCGAAGAGCAAATAAAAAAAACGACTACTCGATCCCAAAACTCTGTATATTTTTATATAAAATGTGATTTCTTTCTATCATCATGGTCATCGAATAAATTTCATCGTAATTTTCATGCATAATTGCAAACTTTTTGTGTACATAATCATAATTTTTGTCGGCGTGGGTAGCATTGATAACGAATACGTCGTTATGTTGCAAGCATTACAGAACGAAACGATTACGATTGATAATGAACGCTAGCTGCTAAGTTGTAAATGTAAAATGCGTAATAGTAATACCTAATACATAAGATCATGCACTGTTAAACATATGAATCAAGGTGAATTGTATATTTCTTTCATTATCAAATTGAAGAAACATGAATAAAATAAACGATGCAAATTTAGGAATTTGTTTTTCTTAAGAAGAAAACCAGCAAATCAGCGCAGTGATGGTTTTAGATTTGAGTGGGAAAATTTGATTTTGAGGTGTCTATAATTTACGTCTTCCAAAATAAATTAAGTGAAATTAAATGGAAGATAACCTTTTTTCCTGTTTTATTTAAGCATTCCGCTAACAACCTAATTTTATTACTTCAATGTTTCCTTATTAGAAAGTAACTATTAGTATAGTGATAGTATAGGAGCAGTTAGATAGAGCACTCAGTTTAGATCGTATTTCAGGCAGGAAATACGAGGAGTGCTTCATCGGCCTCATTGAACGAATAGCCGCCAATGAGCTAAGACTATCCGTAAAAATGAAATAATGGTCAGAAGGTAGTGAGGCAATTCGCCCTACTGTGTAAAAGGTGTAAAATATAGCTGCAAGTTCCGCAACGTATATGGAGCATGGTTTCTGCAGTTTATAGGAGGCGCTATGAAATTGAACCAAATCAAGCACTCAAAAAACTTGAAACATTTTTATTGGCGAATTTCCATGTAAAATTCCACATGATTTTCATGTGTCCACACATAAACAGAATCCACTCAGAAGTACACATGAAATTTATGAGTCAAATGAATAGTATGTGTGGTTACACTTGAATGTTATGCGTATACACATAAGAACCACAGTTTGTCTGTGTTGATAGCGTTCCTGTTAAAAAATAAACGATTTTTAACCAATCAAGATTATACGACCTTTTTTGTTACATTCGTCCGTGCGCATTTGAGCGGCTTACAGTGTTGACAAAATCAGAAATCAATTGATATTTTTCCGCTCTAACGCGCTCGCAATATCACGCGTGATTGGAACAAAATATCATGCTTGATATTGATTTTACAAGCTCCTTTGATATTGCGAGCCTATTCACTACGTGCAAAAATCAAGCTGAGAGTTGACTCGACACAAAAATGATTCAATTGCACATCGTTTTCTTAGAAAGAGAAAGCAGTTTGGTGAGATTTGCAGTTGGTGAGTTTGTTAGCTTGATATTCCGAGCTGCGATATCACAGCTTGCAAAATCAACCGCAGTTGCTTGCTTGTTGATTTTTGTCTATGAAAATCAAGCGTGATCTTGGGCGTTGATGAGATTTGATTTTTTGATATTTTCCCAACGGGCTTAGATATGTATTATAGTTAGTAATATCACAGACAAACAGACATAACACTAGCAAGTTGTTCATCGAACAAGCATTTAACGGTCAATTTAAAAGTATCGTAGTTGGTAGTACCAACAATCAATACGAAACTAACGATTTTAATTTGGCTCACCACTTTAGTAGCCTATTGGTCCCAAGCAAACGATTAACGTACCCTATTCTAGTTGAAATTCTATTACTACACTATGTTTGTTTTGATTCGCTATGAAAGTTTGGCAGATAACATCAGGGGTGTGTGGATTCATGCAGAACATGCAGGGGTGAGTGAAATAGCTTGGGACTGCTTGGGACCGTTGTTCTGGTACTGAGTGAGCCAAAAATAATAATGATTTTCTTCGGGACCCAGTGGTCTTAGAGTTACCTCTATGGTAGTAGCAACAATCAATACGAAACTAATGATTTTAAATTGGCTCACTACTTGACTAGCCTATTGGTCCCAAGCAAACGATTAACGTACCCCATTCTAGTCGAAATTCTAGTACTACGCAATGTTTGTTTTGATTCGCTATGAAAGTTTGACAGATAAATTGAGGGGTTATTGGTTTTTCCTATGTTTCGAGGGGTGAATCGATTAGCTTGGGACCGAAGAGAGTACCAGAGCTGAGCCAAAAAGTTGAACACGTTTTTTTGGACCTTCTAGTCTTAGAGTTACCACTATGCTAGTAGCTTATTGAACGAAAGTCATGAGAAAGTCGAATCTCTCGTTCCATTTTTGACAACAACAAAAAGTGAGAGTGGGATGCAAAACTCAAAATTAATCAAAATTAAGTAAAAAGAACTTAAATTTAGGGTATTTTTTTTCTCTGTGCACCTTATATACACGGAGATGAAAAAGTACCCAAAATTAAGATCTTCCAGATGTTCCATTGAATTTGCAGCAAGAAATTTCAATTGTGTGTAGCAGTGCTCCAGACTCCAGATTAGTTTAAACAGCTTCAATGCTATTATGCCTCTAAACAAATAAACCGGAGCTCCTAAAAAAATCTTGAAAAAATCCGAAATATTTTATTTATTACGCATTGATATTTATTCATCAAAATACCAGCAAAAATAATATAAGCAAATAAATAACTGAAAAAGCCAGGAATTTTTTTACTGACTAAAACGGCAAATTTTGACATTTCAGGGATTTTTTCCATTTACCAAGTTTTCAGTCAAAGTAAAAACTACTGAGTTGATTGCTGAAAACTCAGCTGCTTAAAAACCCAGTAAAATTTTACCGACTTCGGTAATTTAAACTCTGAAAAATAAATCACATTTCCGATGAAAAATATCCATTAGAATTTAACATAACTTTCATGTGATCTGATCTCATAATTAACCACTTCATTCGAGCAGATAAAATGACGTTCACTACCACTCAAACTTTGAAATGAAACATTATTTTGAGATTTTTTCTTCTAGAACCACGAAAAAAGTAGCCAACATTTGTGCGTTTCACAAAAAAATAGAAATTAGTTGGTCCAGTTTTGTGAAATCACATGTAGAAAGCAAGGTTGCAAAGGCTCATTTCAGCTAAAATAATGTTTTTCGGAATAATAAAACCAAAAGATGGTATGATGGCATGTTTTACTTGTAACTTACAAGAAGAGGTTACAAAGTATGCGTTGGAAACATAAAACCTGTAAATTTTGCTTTCTATGCGTCACAATCAGCGATTTGCTGATCGCTGAGTGAGTGAGTGAGTGAGTGAGTGAGTTTGTGAAAAATCGCTGATTGTGACTCTCATGAAGTGAAATAAACAGGTTTAATATGTCAAACACATTCTTTGCAACCTCTTCTTGTATCCAACCAATTCAAAATTTGATCATGGCATCTAATTATTTCATAATTTAGAAAAACATTGTTTTAGCTGAAATGAGTCTTTGCAACCTTGGTAGAAAGTCACGCCAAAACTGCTTGACGAAGTGGTCAATTGGGAATCGCACCACGAAATCACATAAGCCTTATGTGTCCAATGAAGTTTATGTGATTTATCACATAGAATTCATGTGATCATATGAATGTTATGTGAATTTCAGGTAAAAATAATTAATTTTGTTATTGGAAAAATATCATGTGCGTTCCCAATGAAAACTATATGAAAATTTGTTTCAGTGCACTTAATCTAGCTCGGTAAAATCTCCAACAGCCGATTACCTCGGCATTAACTTTAGCTGATAAATATATCTGCAAAATATATGTTTAATAGCTGATATTTCAGCAAAATGATATTTGTTAGCTAACTCTCGGCAATTGTTTTACTGAATCTCAGCGAAATAAATTGCAGAACTAATCGGTTTTTGGAATCTCGGTGAAAAAATTTAAGTGTGTAGGGGAAAAGGATGTAATGTCGGCCTAAATGCCCCTAATTTGGGCCCATACATAAATTCAGCAATCGACTAAATTTTCAATAACGACCAAAGAGATCCGTCCATCCGCGTTCATCTAGATAAAATTGATCAATAGCAGATTTTTAGCGATGGGCCCAATCTTAGATCCATCCCTCGCCATTTCCCCTATTTCGGAGAAAAAGGAGGCACCTGGAAAGAAGATACGTTTGATATGATTTTCTAATAGCGCAATTTTATATGAAAATTAATGGTTTTTACGTTCCATTTAACACAACAAAAAATACTCTTAAGTATCCCTAATAAAATATTACAAACGAACGATAACCCAAATGATTGAACTAGTCCACAAATGGTTTGGATGATACCTCGAACACGTCGTTAAGCAAATTGACCATTACATTTTTATTAGGGATATTCTACCTCAAATCAAGTTTAATTCACGTTAATTTGAGAATATGCAATATACTCATAAGTAACTTATTTGGCTGAACTATATCGTTGGGTCGAATCGAGGGTCGAGTCTCTCGTACGTTTTTTGACAACAATCCGAGCAGTTAAAATGACGTTTACTACCACTTGAACTTTGAAATAAAACATTATTTTGAGATTTTTTCTTCTAGAACCACGAGAAAAGTAGCCAACATTTCTGCGTTTTATTAAAAAATAGAACTTAGTTGGTCCAGTTTTGTGAAATCGCTGGTAGAAAGTCACACCAAAACTGCTTGACAAAGTGGTCAATAACGAGGGCAAGTGAGAGGCCGAGGGGCACGCAATACAAAGAACCGGTGCGTTGAAGTTAAAATGCAATCAAAAGTACTTGAAGTAAATAATGCGTTTTGAAGTAGTACTGACGGTAATTGGGTTCTTTAATTTTGAAAAATGTATCGTTTTTTAAACATCATCTGAAAAAGCTTCGTTTTCGGATCACAGCAATTTTTTTTTCGAACCCACACACTTTCATCTCGATTTTTAAATCAAGAATTAAAGCAAAATAATAACTTCACTGTTTGACATTAAACTAACAAACTGACAACTCGCTTCCATACAAAGTGACACCGAGGGACACAACTCATAAAAGAAAAGACAAGAAAGCTGACACTACTTTTTTTTATATAAATATATATATTTAAGAAAACAAAACTGTATTAGTTGTACTAGTCTACGTTGGTTGACGAAATAAATAAATAAATAAATAAATAATAAGGTGATTTTTGCAAATGTAATCGTACTTATTTAAATTAGTTCCAGTGTACCAAAATTGATGAAATTTCGGGTTTGGGTTCCATTTTTAATGCAGATTACGAATATGCATTTACCTCAATACCCTTAAAAAACCCAATTAAAATTATCCATCCGTAATTAATGTAATTAAAAGTATTGAATATGTAATTAATGTACTTTAATTACGAAATTTTGACTTTAATTAATGGAGTTAAAAAGTAGTTAATATTCTAAATTTTTTAATTAATGTAATTAAAGCAGTAGTTAATGGAATTAATTTAATTACAGCCGTCCCGCATAAACGCGAACCATAAATTGACCTTACCGAAAATGGTTAAAAATTGTTTATAATCCCTGCTAAACTTCAACTGAAATGGTTATGAAACTTTACATGAACGTTTAATGATAAAGTTTTAACCTTATGTATTATGGTTTTTTTGAAGCGGACCTTACAAATAATGAGTTGTTAAGAACCATTACCATTCAAAATTCTTGTTTTCTCCATATATTTTCGGGAGGAGGACTATATTAGAACCTTTTAACTTATGGTTTGAGAACATTAATGGTTATGGTTATGGTAGTCAGTAAGGTCCATGAATGGTTTTGTAACATCGATCAACTTTATGTGGAATATATCGCGAATTGGTTGCCTGTAAATTACTGATTACCAATTCACGATATATTCCACGTAAAGTTGAGCGATAATACAAAACCATTAATGGACCTTACTGACTATCATAACCATAACCATTAATGTTCTCAAACCATAAGTAAAAACGTTCTAATATAGTTCTCTTTTCGAAAATGTATGGAGAAAACAAGAATTTTGAATGGTAATGGTTCTTAACAACCCATTATTTGTGAGGTCCGCTTTCAAAAAACAATAATACATAAGGTTAAAACTTTATCACACAAACGTTCATGTAAAGTTCCATAACCATTTCAGTTAAAGTTTAGGAGGGATTATAAACAATTCAGTGCCAACATTTCAAAGGGGCGTAATTACATTTGTAAACAATGGCTTTAGCCATCGATTTCTCGCGAATAAAAGCTCACTCATGAAAAATAATGACACCATTAGGTAGAGGAATGTTTCCTCTACCAGCTAGCATTGTTATTTTGAAGAGGTAAGATTTCATTCGCGAGAAATTGATGGCTAAAGTCATTGTTTACAAAAGCAATTACGCCCCTTTGAAATGTTGGCACTGAATTTATAATTATTATCGGTAAGGTCAAGTTATGGTTCGCGTTTATGCGGGGTTGCCTGCGTTGGAGTTAAAGTTAATTGCAGTAAAAAGAACTCAAACTTTGGGTAGTATTTTTTCTCCGTGTAAACTTTCGACTGCATTCGGGTCCATCTATAAACCTTGATGGCTTCGCGCTGAAAACTAAATCTGTCATGATCAATAGCATTCATGCTCTCCATTTTATATTTTGATTTGTATTAGTAACCTTTAATGACGTCATCAATCCCGTATCCTTACATAGGAGTGAGCGAAACACGAAACAGATGACCCAAAGAAAATCACTACTTTCTCATTCTCTCAAGCACACCTTTTCAATAGTATTGTACATTGGGCATCAACCGAGCAAGAGCCAGCCATCAGCCAGCCAGCCGACGGACGGACGAGTGGAGTGCGTGCGTACAAACCAAAAGCAAACGGCTAGCAGCGCGATCGAGTGATGTGAACTACCCAGAGAGTAGTGAGCGACTGTAATGTGTGAGTGAATGCGTTCTTGTTGACTTTGTCACGATTGAAAAAGTAAGATTATTTTCCAAGCTTTCGCGTTAAATTTGCACACAAAAGTGAAGAAAAATGTGGCCCCCGGTCGAGGCCAGTAACGGGCCGTGCGGGAACGGTGAAGTTCAGCGGAAATGATGTCCGGATGGTGCGAAAAAATATGTGTGGAAAAATGTGCTACTGCTTCATTGTCTGTCTCGGTCCGTCGGGGAATGTCTCCGCGGGTGTGGAATTTCACCATAAACAAGCAGAAGGGAATAATGTTCTCGAAGAAGAGATTTGGAATACAAGTGATCTCACGCATTTGGATATGATTATATCCAGGACCAAGGAATCGGAGGACACTAGGCTGCCAGGGAATGTAATACGTAATTGCGTCCTTTTGACGTAGTTTTTCTTTTTCTCTGGTCGTGATGCTTTTCGCTCCTGGCTGCTCACTGTCCCCTTCTCACGACTCACCATCCGTTTTAAGTCGTTTGGCTGGTGTGTGCTAATGTAGGTTAGGTCATTTCACGCGAGTGAGAAATGTTCACCCGAAAAGAAAACTGGACAGTGTTGCCAAACAACTACCGTGCCACAGACTGTGCCGTGAGGTGTACAAGTTTTGTATGAAAACATTGTAACCCTTAATGTTCTAACGAAGGGAAATCGCTGTCTTTTGAAGAATGATATCCAATATCTTAAATGTGATGAACTAAAACAAATTAGGAGGTTTTTGTTGTGTGATATGGATTCAATATAGTCCTTCCTCCAAACTGAAACTAGAAAAATCATGCAAATGCTGATCCCTACTCATTCGCCAACCAGAAAGCATCAGTGACACCCTTCTTAAATTCAGTGAATCTTCCAAAAAAAGAGACCCACATGTGGACACACACGAAGAGAAGCATAAAGAGCAGATGGAACAGTGAAGCGACTCGTAGAGCAGATTTTTACCTCTTTGTGCTATGCCCCTGTCGTCGTTATATCGTAATGTTCGGTCCTACGTACCTTGCGTTGTGTTATTCATATGCACGAGTTGCCTGCATGACCTCGTAGCGATATGCTCAGGTACGAAGGAAAATCTAAAAGGTGTTTCTGTTCCAGCTGCTCGGCATAGTTCTCCGAGGTTCTTGGTTCCATTTGATTGAAGGACAGACGGAACGGCTCAAGAACTATACAAACTTACTATGCTAGTATAAGTGCGAAAAGTGGCAGAAAATCATTGAAGTACCATTGATGTTGCTTCGATGTTCACTTTATCAACGACAATGTTGTAGCATAAACGTATAGCGAAACTTTTCAAATGACGTAAGTTGTAAAAGTAAACAAATTGAGCTTTTCCTTCTATTCGGTTATGAACGATACTGTTTACATACTATTGAAAAAAAAAACGATGAAAACATCAATTTATATACGCCTTTCTTCAATTTGATGAAAGTAATTAAGTAAAGAGATATGTGACGTTAAACGCATGCACACTAACTTGTGCATCGCAATGTAAAGTTGTTTATTATTTTCCTCTGAATAACCTAAAACATCATTTAGATCTGTATATATAGAGAGAGAGAGAGAGGGAAGGATTAGTAATTTCAATTTAATTCCACTACCTTATTTGCTTATCCTTGACATATACGCGTATTTAGTCTACAATGTGCAGAGTTCTTCGGTGTTAGCTTTTCAATTTCCTTCTTACGCACTGCATCAGCAGAAATTTCTGGTTCCAGTCCAGGGCTGGTGGAAGGCTCAGGTTGATCACGTTGCACTATATCATGCGACAATTTTAACAGTGTTGTCCCTTTAAATGGTGCCTTCAAACTAGAATGGGTCTCGTTTCCATTAAAAAAAAATTCAGATTACATGGGGTTATTTAAAAAGTTTTCAGATTACATGGGGTTATATTGGAAGCCCCGTAATGCCACTGAGAAATGATGTTTTGATTTCCAGTCGTATGCACTATAACACCAAAGCTGAGCATGACCATGACCTGAGAGTACGGACTTGGCTTCTTTTTCAAATTGGAGTGATGCCTCGTAGCTTCGCCCAGCTCGAATATCTGACAGCTATTGATAGTGGAAGCGATTTGGCAGACCTTTTGTGGACGAACATTTCCGTTGTTCTTCCTCTATTCTGGCGTGCATGCACTTTAGGCATGGGTTGGAAAGTTATGTACGTGTGGGAGAATATAGATTTTTCTTATCCGTCCGCTCTTCTGATTGGTTCCCGAAAAGTTCCTATTTTGATCGTTAAATTTCTTAATTTTATAAATATTTGCACACAAAAAATAACTGGATAAATTCTCCGTCGAATGACATATTGTATGACCTTTTTTTCCCTTGATTTGTTTTCCGTCGATCTTGTTTTCCGTGCTGAGCACCAATGCTTCCGACGCCAGGAAGGCAGCTCCCACACCTGGACCGGGGACCAACGGCTTTACATCCCTTCCAAAGGAAGGCGTGATCAAGCGATGTTATGCCTCAGAACATCCCGGCGGCGCCGACTGGGATTGAACCCAGGCCTGCTGGGATGAGAGGTAATCACGCTTACCACTACACCACCGGCACCGCTATATTGCCATTCATGGTTTTAAGAAATATGCGTTTGAAAGCTGCCCCATTTTCGTTACATGACTCATTTTCGATTTCGCAATGTGACCCCCAGAATAGCAAAATAAAACATGTTAATATTGTTCATTTCATTACGTGGCAATTGTGCACGGTCCATACAAATTTAAAAAATTTTGTATGGAAAATTGTCTACGCAGGGGAAGGGGGGGGGGGGGGGGGTCAAGAATCCCAAAAAAACTGTCTACGTAGTTAATGAACAGCCCCTTAATGGCTCAAGGGGGTTTCCCATCTTTGAAAATATAACAATAGGAAATAATTAATTCTTTGGATATACGATAAAGAAGGGAATATTCCCTTCTTTTAATATATAAAAGAGAAAATAATCAATTCGTTAAATATATGATAAAGAAGGGAATATTCCCTTCTTTGAAAATATAACAAAAGGAAATAATTAATTATTGGATGAACGATAAAGAAGGGAATATTCCTTTCTTTGAATATATAAAAAGAAAATAATTTATTCTTTGGATGTATGATAAAGAAGGGAAGGGAATATTCCCTTCTTTTAATATATAAGGAAAATATGTAATCAATAGCTTTTGGCAAGGGATTCGGGGTAATGACCATTTGGGATAATAACGTGTGGAATAATGTTATAAATTTGTAATCGATAGTTCAACGTTCCATGCACCGATTTTTCAATCCATAACGAGAAATTCTTCAACTCAGGTCTAGACTCAGGTCGAACAATTCTTTGATAAGGTTTAACAGTTTCCGACTGGTATTGCATATTGAATTGGATTGCATATTAGACCCTTTGACTTTTTAAATGGTGAACGAAGTGCTCGAAAACTTGAAGGTTGTCATTTTCTAAAGAGCTTTAAAATGGTTTGGAATTGATAAATACATAGTTCCATAAAAGTAAACGTAGTGTATCATCAATTTAGTAAAGTGAAACTAATCAGAGAGTTTAATCACAGACAACAGACATAACACTTTGAACGACATCTCTCGGGCTTCTCGCGTAAAACAAGCTTGCTCGCTTGCAAGCTTCAAAATTCCAATAAAAAATTATCATTTGTATTCAGTATAAATTCCAAAACGAAATTTCCTTCTAAAAATGTACCCTTCTTTTGACCCCTTGCTGTTCTTTCATTTGTCTTAATTTCGGGGTAATGGCCATTCGGGGTAGTAGGGCATTCGGGGTAATGGCCATTCGGGGTAGTGGCATTCGGGGTAATGGCGTTCGGGGTTATGGCGTTCGGGGTAGTGTCACAGAATCGCTTTTATAAGCTGAGGGGATAAGCTACTCAGTGAGTATTCAGTATTGTTATTTTGCAGGAAGATAGATTATTTTTCTTTGGATTTCTTCAATGATTTATTTGAACATAGAGTGAATTCTAGAAAATTATAGTCGAAGATGCTAATTTCAAATAGCAGATTAAAGCGGTAATTTTTACCACAGTGGTGGCGGGGAATACCCCTCACCATCCCTCTCCAACAGGGTAGTTAAGTAATGAGAGAGATGATAAAACCGATTTGTACCTTCCTAAAAGTTGTCCTAGCTCGCTTTCTACTCTCTATATGCAATTTTTACACTGCCGTACTGCAACGGAACTATCAATTCTATACTTTCGTCTCCTCATCTATCGTATAAAAATTACCACTTTAGTCTGTTATTTGAAATAAGCATCTTCAACTATGTAAATCGTTGACTTCACGCAGAAGTAATATTAAACGTATAGTCAAAGTCTAGAAAATTGTTTCAAAAGTTGCTGAGACGAGAGATGATCCTAGTCTTAGAGTACTCCTCTTAATTTTTCTGAAAATTTACTTGGCATTCATCTCAAGATTCCCATGAAATTCCGCGGAAATCTCTAGAAATTCTTCTCAGAAATTATACTCTCGAAATTCGATTGTCTGGTATTCTTCTCGGAACTTGCTTGGAACTCTTTGGAATTCACTTAAAATTATCCTAAGAATTTCCTTGAAATTCATTTTAAAAATATTCTCTTGATTCCATTGGAATTCACAGAACTCTCTTAAAATTATTCTTAGCACTTGAACTACCTTAGAAATTCTACTCAGAACACTTCTAGTTCACCTAGAGTTTTTTTTCACAATTACCTTGGAACACTTCTCTCAATTGACTTAAAGCGAAGACAACATATCAAGAAGATGGGTAACTCTTCCATTTTCTCATGCATCCGCTATGAGAGGCACAATAGCGTCATCTGCCACTTGGCAAATGCTCCGATCGAATTGTATAGCGATGATTCCAACCCCAGAAGAAAGGTGTGTGTATTTGCTCATTTTCCTATTCGTGGCTTCCACCTTCGCTCAAGCGCAGCGCTACTGTATCTGTCGCTTGGATTCTGGCAAAGTTGTCAGTCTTTTTGATATGTTGTCTTCGCGTAAAGGTAATCGGAAAACCTTTTCTCGTGACTCAAGGCTCGCCTACGCAAACTAACACCA